TAAAAATGGCTGTTCCCTCAAATAGTGCCCTATTTAAGGGTATAGGGGGCGATTTCGGACACAGCCATAGAAACTTCCAGTCAGGTGTGTTGAGGAAAGTTGGAGCTAAACTCTGCAGGACACCGGCCCTCCAGAACCGAGTTTGGACAGCCCTGGTTTAGAGAATAAATGATTATTTTTCACAAAAAGTAAAATAATAATAAAATAAGTAGTAGTAGTAGCAATAATAGTCAAATAAATAGAGAAAAATTATAACTATCTAAAATTATTATTATTATTATTATTATTATTATTATTGATTAAATGGTTTATTTTGTATATAAAATATATATTTTGTACATAATGAAATAATAATAATAATTATTATTTCATCAATATTAATAACTACTAGTAGTAGTAATATTAATAATAGTTGATAATAATAATTATTATAATATCTAAAATTATTAATTATTATTATTGTTGTTGTTGTTGTTACTTAAATGGGTTATTTTATTATATAATTTAATATTTAATCAAAACACACTAACACTGCACAACAACATTGTTTAGTAAATAAATATAAATTTTAGTAAAACAAAAATTATATATTTTTTATTATATTATTAGTAGTAGTAGTAGTAGTACCAGTAGTTGTAACAGCATACTAATAATAATAATAATTATTATTATTATTATTAAATAATCATCTGAATATTTTAAAACAAAAATCACAACAGACTTTAACACCACAGATATACACTACAATGTTACAATATCACATTCGTTCAACCTACACAGAGGCTAGTAAACCTAAAGAAATTACCTGCGGTCCATCTCTGGCTTCATAGAAGTCACCAACCTTGATTTTAGCACTGAAGCTAAAATGATCACGTGTAATGTTGCTTATCCCGTTACTGGTCAGATACTGTGAGGGGTGAGAGAACGTCAGATCAACAGAACGGCAGCAGCATCGGTCATTAAATAGCGACTCATGTTTTAAGTGATCATCTTGCCTTGATGACATCAGGATACTGTCTGAGCTTTCTGCCGCATGGAGCGTAATACACCACCTCTCCCCGCAAACGCCCAGACATGTTTGTGATGCGCGTCTCTCTCTGCCATCTGAGAACAGAAAGAGTTTTCATTTCATGCTCAAGACTCATAAGGTGAAGTCATGCAGAAATGAGACGACTAAGTCAGCTATTTGCAAGCTGACTGGCTTAAAAAACCTGTCTGTCCAGCCATTCATTATTTTTTCTATTCCATTGTGTAATGTTGCTTATCCCGTTACTGGTCAGATACTGTGAGGGGTGAGAGAACGTCAGATCAACAGAACGGCAGCAGCATCGGTCATTAAATAGCGACTCATGATTTAAGTGATCATCTTGCCTTGATGACATCAGGATACTGTCTGAGCTTTCTGCCGCATGAAGCGTAATACACCACCTCTCCCCGCAAACGCCCAGACATGTTTGTGATGCGCGTCTCTCTCTGCCATCTGAGAACAGAAAGAGTTTTCATTTCATGCTCAAGACTCATAAGGTGAAGTCATGCAGAAATGAGACGACTAAGTCAGCTATTTGCAAGCTGACTGGCTTAAAAAACCTGTCTGTCCAGCCATTCATTATTTTTTCTATTCCATTTAGACACTTCAGCTTTAAACGCTGATGTTCATCACGGTTTTCAACTCAGTTCAATAAATTAGGGTGTTTTATTAGTTAAACTTAGTCTAATCACATTCAGTTTTGATAAATAATAGTGCAAAGTTCATCTGAATATGAAGCAAACTTAATTGAACTAAAAAGCAGCTCTATTTAAAAAACAACAACAATAGTGTTATTCAGCTCAAGACAGTTCTGTGTTGATTTAATTCAGTTCAATAACAGCGTCAATGTTGCAAAATTCATCAGTTATGAAACTAATTTGTTTCAACTATAAAGCAGCTCTACAAAAGACAACTATCATTCTCCAGCTCAATTTAGTTCAAGCTTGCTCTCATCCATTGGCAGTGGAGTCAAATTGATAATATTACTTAATATTAAATGCATTTTAATTTAATATCTTTTAGTGTCTTTTAGCAGAAATGTAGCAATTCAAATATTAAATTTAATGTTTAATATTTAATTATATTATCACATAATAATATAATTAATGATCATATTAAATGCAATATTAATATTATAAATATTATTAATAATTAATAATAGTATTTAATAATATAAAATATTTGTTTTTTTTACTACCTGTACAGCACTTTCATTTCAATGTTTTTAAAATGTGCTTTATAAATAAAGTAAAGTAAACTAATGTTGTCAATCCATTTCAGAATCGCATTGTTTTTGTGCCAATAATAGATAAATACTGATATGCTAAAGGAACTTAAAAAATAAGTCCAAATAAATCTGATTATATTTATAAATGTATTGCCCCTTAAATGGCTTCTTTGTGTGTTTTTTATGAGTAACTTTTAGCATATCTGTCAGCAAGTTAAAGTAGCACTACTCCTCACTATTTCCCATTTATTCAATCATGCTGTATGTACATTATATGGATTCTTGTAGGGCTGCTCGATTATGACAAAAATCATAATCATGATTATTTTGGTCAATATTGTAATCAAGATTATTTAAAACGATTATTAGTGGGCCATATGACCAAAACTTTATATGAAAGATTTATTTAAAGATAGTGATATATATCAAATATATATTTTCTCTAAATAAGGTTGCTATGACATCTACATTTTAGAGACCAGCGAAATACCAGAGTAACTAATATTAGTAAAAAAAACAACAACAAAAAAGGTCCTCAAAATTATTGAAAATAATTAAAATGTAATAAAAAAGCAAAAGAATACAATATAATTAAAAATATACAAATGAAACAAACTGTGCTTTAAGTTTTTTTTAATGCAAGTCTAAAGTATTCAGTTAACGGCCTACTAGAGAAATTGAATAACTTAATGTAAAATAAAGCAGCATAGTCTTCACTGTAAGAATTAAACATCCTTTGTTTCTTATTAAAGCTACAAAAGTCCTTCAGTCAAGAGCAGTGAGTGATTTTGAATGTGTCTTTTGTTGTTTGATTAATATTAAGCACACAGTCGCAGCAGGAAAATAGCCCGCTGTCACTTTAAGAGCTGCACGGATCCAATTTACTGTTACACAAGTATTTTCATTCTCAACTCTTTACATTTATTTATTACATAACCGACGAGGGTTCACGTGAATAATCACTAAGCGCCACATTTTGACACATTTTTGTGTGTATTTGACCGTTTAAAAGATGACTTTACATGTCCGTGTTGTGTTCCTTCTCTGGGCGCATCCACAGTAATCTTCCCGAGGAAGCGCAAGTTCTTTCACACTTTTAAAAACATAAATCAATCTAATCAACTTAAATAAATAAATAAAAATTTATTTAGCAAAAGTCTCGTTACATGATTTTACTGATTATGGAGGAACGAAAGAGCACCGCTAGAAAGGGGGCGGAATGGGGCACAATAATCGTTTTATCTCGATTACTGTATTTTCATAATGGTTGGAGGCCGAAATCGAAATCGAAACTGAATTTCGATTAATTGCACAGCCCTACAAATCCATTACTGATGCAATAACAAACCTCTGCACTTAAGGAGGCGATAAAGTGTCCTTCAAATGTCTGGATCATTAAACATCTATAAACACGCTGACTTTAACAAACTTTACTCAAAGATTCACTTCAAACTGTAGAAGATGGTTTAGAATAACAGCACTATAGTGCATTACTCTTTACAGATGCATAGTTGGAAGAAAATTTGGTGATACTGCCGCATACTGTTCAGTGATACTGTCACGGGGGCAGTATCCTTTCAAAAGGTATTAATATGTACACACTTTAGGTGAAAATACGTACTTTGAAAGTACTAATGTGTACCATTTAGGGGTAAATAAGGAACAAAAATTAACCTTTGAGCTCTTGTACCTTCGGGCGTCGCCCCAGTGACAGCTTTGTACTTTTTTTAATGAGTATGTTCTGGCCCTAAAAGGATTATTAAAATGCATGCAAATGTTTGACATCACTAATAAAACGAAAATAAGGGTCCATGTAACATGAAATGGCTGGAAAGTCAAGACTCACCCATATTGTAGAGGTTTCCGCAGTGCACATTCATCTGTGACTCTTCTCCTTTTCCCTAGGAAGATGGCAGATAAGCAAATATATAATCACAAGAAACATATACTTGCTGTTTTAGTAGAAATATACTGGTCGACCGATATGGATGTTTTATGGCCGATATAAAGCCGATAAATATATGATATCACATTATTTAATTTAAAGATAGTAAAAAAAAACATGCATAATTGCTGAAAATAAATTCATATTTATTTTACATAATATTTACATAATTATATAATTTGAAAATGAATAAATATGAAAAAAAAAAATTAACTTAACAAAAAAATCTGTAAAATAAAAAGACATTTATTTGGATGGCAACTTCTTGATTCTGTAATTCTATTATAGTATTTTTCACAAATAAAGAAATGAATAAAAACATTAATAAAAAGGAAGTAAACACCGTAACCAACAGTGCACACAGTCATCTGGTAAGTTTGTGCACACTAGGAATCATTTTTTAAATATAGATTTTAATTTTACATTCAGCACACAATGAATATTTTATATTTTTTCAACTTATTTACTTTAGTAAATATTATGTAAAATAAATATCAATTTAAATTCAGCAATTGTTATGCATGCGTTTTTGCTATTTTTAAAAAAGGCTGTCAAAATAAAAGTCCTGTGTCCAACTGCAGCCAAACAGAAAAAAATATTGGCCGATGGGATAATAAAAAAATGGCAAATATTGGCCAATATATCAGCCTTGGCGATATATTGATCGACCACTCACCCAACCCATTTAAAGCGCATAAGAAGATTAGGATGTTGATTTTAACTATGTTTTTGTTGTTGTTGTTTTTTATTTTTTTAATTATCTTGAAAATAGGTTGCAGGTTATTAATATCCATAAGAACAATTGTTTACAATACCTGGTGGTGTGGCCACAATGTAAGACGACAAAGCTGGGCTGTGATTGGCTGAATTCCCAGAGCTGGTCACAGTGGCTGGTGTGATTGTGGCAGGTGTTTTAGGAACCTGTAGATTGAGAGGGGCGGGGCTAGTGCTGTGGGAGGAGTCTAGCACAGATGTTGAGGATTTGGTGAGTTTGAGTGGCATTCTGTCCATTTCTAAATCTGTGTCCATCTCTTCATCTTTACCATCATCATCATCATCATCAGAATCAGTGTCTAAATTGCTGTCAGAGTCTGCATGAGAGAAAACAACATGAGAGTGTGTTCACTCATGTATGAATGGGAAAATTACGCTTCTATTATGTTGCATATGACTTTTTACTCAGTTAGGATCACAAAAAGTGCATGCAATTTTTTGACACTCTGATGTGAAATGTGCATACAAAATTTGTATTATAATTAAGATGTTTGTAAGTCAATCTGACCTGCAAAATACATGATTAAAAGGCAGCTGTACAAAAACAAAATCAATTTTGATGTATTAAGTCAAGTCAGTTTCCAACTACCCTCTAAGGGTGTTTACATTTACATTTATGCATTTGGAAGAAATTTACACATTGTTGATGGCATACATTTGTGGCATACAGTTTCGAACCCATGATCCAGGATTATTATTGTTAGCAAAACTTAAAATCATAAAAAAACAAACAAAAATAAATAAAAAAAGAAAATGAAATAAAATAAACATCAGCTGAAGAAAAATAAATAAAACATTTAAAAAAAAAAAAAAAAAGTAGTAAACTAAAAAGTAAAGAGCTAGTTGCCAAGGCAACATTTCAAATTTTTGTTTAGTTTAACTTGTAGTAGTAAAATAACTAAAACTAATTAAACTAAAACAAAAAAATAAAAATGAATAAAAACTATATAATAAATTAAAAAATAAATAATAATAAATGACAAAAGTACAAAACAAAAACTTTAACTAAAATTAAAGTGAAAACAGAAAATATAAAAATAGAATCTAATTCAAAATATTAACAAAAACTATAATAGTATCTCAATGATACTAAAATAAAATGTTCATGATCTTGGTGTTGCTAGTGCCATGCTTTTACTTTTTGAGCTTCAAGAAAGCACACAGAATAAACACTTTCCACACTTCTGTTTAAAATGTTTTTTTTAAATGTTTTTT